AAAAAAAAGACGTATTTCATAGCTGCATCTTTGTGTTCAATGAATCTGTGGGATCAGTTGCACCCTGAAAATTTTAATCCTGAAAATTTTGTCAATGGAGGGGTGGAGAGGGTTGGCAAAAGCAAATAATATACCATCACTATTAATTTAAGCTGTGTATAAAAAATCCTTTTTAAAAATTTGTTTTGCCCTTATATCTTATTATAATAATATAAATATATGGACTTTAAATAATGGCTTTAGCTCTGCTACTTTTTCCATTAGGTTTTAAGCTCTTCAGCCATAAGTTATCCTACAGTGGGGGTTTTCTAGAACCCACTCCACTCAGACAAGGAGAGAACACTTATATTCATTCACAGAGACCACCTCTGAAACTCTTTTTAAAACTGAGTACAGTCAATCAGGGCACTGACAAAGGAGCTTAAGGGTCTGCATCTCACATGACAGATAAGGGCAGGCTCTGCTCCTACCGCTGCCTAGATATGCTTTTTTTTCTAATCTTTAAATCCAATTGTGATCCCAATACTTAGATAACCAGTAACATGTGAACTATTCCTGAAACTTCATAAATAAAATCAATTGGACCATTCATTCAACAAAGAGGCATTTATTGAGTAGGCCTATACTAGGCACAGTGCATTTTTATGGTACCTTTTATTTCACAATCCCAAAAAGCTTTCAAAGTTGCCCTAACAAAGTATCAGTAATTGAACTTCTCTGACTACATATGTACAGCACTCTGTTCAAAACCCTGATTCAGGCGTCATAAATTTAGCTGTTTGTGGAAATAAAAACTAAAAGTGTTGAGACTGGCATTCAATCACTAAATAAATTTCAACTTCACAATTCAATCCAAAATATACCCAGTGCCAAGTAATTTTTAAAATAACAAGCCAAAATATACAATTCAAACATTCCATTAGGCAAAGGAGTTAATAGAGTTGTAACTTCTTACTTCTAAATCCTTATGGGTATGCTACTATATACTAAGCCAAATTTATCAAAAGTTCCACTCAGTGGTTACATTTAATTTGCATAAAGAGCAACTTCCAAAAATTGGTTAAATATTTAACATGCCAAAAACAATTTATTTACCTGTGTTCCCATAATTTTGGAGCTCTTCCTAGAAAACTGACCCCTAATTTTAGGTGCCAGAAAAATATATTCTCCCAAACCAATTCTTTGAAACTACAGACCAGAGAAAGCCCATCAAGAATGGGAGAGAAAAGAACGATAATGATTAAGCACGGGATACAAGTATAAGCCAGAACGCCTGGGTTGCAATCCTTGCTCTATCATTTTCTAATTATCTGACCTTGGGACCTCAGTTACCCCAGCTGCAAAACACGAATAACAAAAATACCTACTCCATATGGTTGTTGTAAGGTTTAAACCTAGGTAAATTAGTACATGTTAAGGATTCAGCAGTTTGCTTATTATGATTGTAACTAAATCATCCAAATCATCTACACAAATGCCTTTCCCTACTCAAAGCCTTCCTTAATTGGTCTAGTAGAATTTAATCCCCCCCTCCCTGGCTTCTCCACAAAATGGATTGTGTATTACTAGGTATAAGTTATTTGGGTACAATTCTCACCCCTCAGATTATATCTCCTTGAAGATAGAGACAGCTCACCCATTCAAAAAACAAAAACCCATGTTGCTTCTAATATAAAAATACAGTAGCATAATTCCTGCATATGTCAAGTCTAACCTAATCATAACATGCCCATCTGCTGATTTTAATGTAATCATGGGATGCTGGATGGCAATATGCTTACTGGATTCACCCTACACTATTTATGTAAAATAAAATCATTTTAATATTACATTGAGATGCAAACCTTTCTGGCTTTGATTTGTGCCCTTTTCCCTCTTAAAAAAGTCTCTCTCTGTCTGTCTCTGTCTCTCTCACGCCTCCAACTTATCCCAGATCACTGAGAAAGCACTTTCTAAAGTGTTATCCAATTTCGCTAACACAATGATATTGCCCTTTGAGAACAGAACTTTTCTAAAAACAAACAGCCGAACCAAGTCCATTGCTTTATCATTTTCTACAAAGCACAATTTTCTTTTCCTTTCATAATGTCCTACCTTTTAAAATTAATTTTGCGGCATAAAAACTGCGGAGGACACCTATTTATTTGCACAACTATTCCTAGTCTCGATTCTTTGACTGGGATTCTTTGAATTTGATTCTCGATTTTAAAACAAACTCAAAAACAAAAGGCTAAAGAAGAATGGCACCCATTTAACATGGTTTTCTAATTTTTTCATTCCTCAGTGGCAGGGCTTCTCACAGGAGTACCAACACTACACCCAATTTGTCCCTCCCTTCTAAACGCATCCCAATCAATTGGGAAACATCAGCCATCTTAACAAGAACACAACGAGAAGCCAGATGAAACCAAAAATCTTATACATTGTACTTCTTTTGAGATTAGGATTTTTCCACATAAATGTACTTTGATGAACCTATGCAATGCACAAACATCATCATAATTTAACTTCATATCTTAGCCTAATTTCTCTCCCTGCAAATACTCACAAGAATGGCTAATTCACAAACAATACCTCTCAGCTACTGGGTACAGAGTATAATAAACTTAATTGTTTTATGTATCCTGAGGTATACAAAGAAAGGCCAGTCAAACACAAAGAGGTCTCCAGTACCTTCCATATTACATACATGATTGAGAAAACGAACTTTTCAAAAACTTTCACTGGGTAAGCAAAACGGGTTTAAACAAAATGGGTTTAGACCCTGCCTTAAAATACGGAGACCTGACAAGTTTAAGCCCTCACTCCACCCCCAATTTCCAAAAGACAAGGTCTCCCTGCTCAATCCCCATCTTACAACCAGGAGGCATTAAAACACTTAAAATTGTTCCCTCGGATTTTAGCAGTCAATGCGAATACTCGGGGCCTTTTCCGAGCAACTGGCTTCTAGCAAAACTTATCACAGGTTACGTGAAATCGACAAGAGCGTTTGGTTCTGCATTTTTTCAAGTGAAGAACTGAGCCACACTTTTGGACAAGCCACTACTACTTCCAGCACCACCAGCTCCCCGCCGCCCCCCCACCAATTTATTTTTTATATCTTTTCTCCAAACTTACAACCCGAAAAGCGATCCACAAAACAAAAGTTGCATCAGTAAACGGGAGGCCACTGGTTTTGAAAATAAAGTTTGTTCTTCTCCTGTCAACCTGGCAACTTTGTAAAGGTGAAATGTCTCCTACTCAGTCGGGTACCTTTCTTATTCCCATACCCAACAACCACTCGTTTGTCCGCGATAGTAAAGGTGGGGGAAAAAAAAAAAGAGGAGAAGAAAATGATGTCGAAAAGAAGGGTCTACGGTTCCAGGGGTAAAGGACAGATTTTGAAGACCGGCTTTGAACACTCCGTGGCTTCTGGGAGCTGCTGGGCGGCTGTACTGGGTCTGAGAAATGTTTAGCAATCTGACGCACCAGTTTTTAGGAACGGTACACAAACAGCCCCCACAATTGGAGAGCCATGCCTGCCTAGGATCCCTCCCTCCTCTCGGTGACATCGGCTGGAGGGCACGGGACGGGAGAGCAGGGGATACCAGGAGAGGATCCGCGACATTTGTTATTGTTTACGAAGCCCAGCAGGGACCGGGAGCGGGTGCTGAAGGGCCGAGGAGTGGACGGGGACAGGAGCAAGGAAGGACAAAGATTCCGCCCCAGGCTCCAAGCTGCTTCTTCTGACACGGGGCCAGTATCACCCCGGGGAACACGGGGGCCAAGGCCGTCGCCGGAGCTTCACGAGACACATTTCCAGCCCCGAAACGAGCCCTGCTTTCTCTGGACACCCAAAGCCACACCACATCGCTTCCTTCTGCTCGCAGAGTTGGGGCAGGTGCGGCGAGCCGGGCCCCCACTCCCAGCCGCGGCCGCCGAGCGCCGCATCCACGCACTCACCTGCCTCCAGTCGCGCCCGCGGCCGGCTCAGCCTCCGCACGGACCGCAGCCGGCCCGGCGCCCGTCCGCTCCCTGCTGCCCGCTCCGCCCTCGCCCCGCCCCCGGGAGGTGGGACCCGCGACTGCGCCGGAATCTCGGAGCGGCCTCACTGAACTCTCGCGATCCCTCCCGCCAAGGCTTCTCGGTGGCTGGGCCGGTTCGACTCGGTCCTGACGTCATACGCACCACAGCCGGAAGTAGCCTTCTGTCGTCAACGACGGCCTCCTGCCCCACCCATCTCTTCCTGGTGAATTTTTGAATGGCCCTGGAGGAGTTGACTGGAGAGTCACCAACTTGCCTCCCTCACTGCTGTACTCATAGCTGGTTCAGGCCTCTTTTGAGAGAGGCCCAGTGTGTTGTTACATTAGTCACCTGCCCTGAGTGTGGTCAGAGTATTTCTCAGTACTTCACGATGCAATGCAAAGAGTGTTAGAAATAGAGGCTGAGAGATAAATCTCCACGAATCCAAACATTTTGCAGATTAGAAAAATGTCGACGAAGACGGATTGGCTAAATTGTTTAGTGAGTAGCTGTGCGATCTAGAAGCCACCTAGGTCCCTTGACCCTTTGTCATTTTCACCATGGCTTAACGCGAGAGACTTGAGAGGGACTCGGATTTGGAAAAGCCACAAAAAGCTTAGTGGCAAACATCAAAATTGTACTAGCGTTATCTTGGAAAATGTAAACTAGCTGCCACTATTGTGCTGCTTTTTCATTAGGATCAGAGAACTAGGAGGAAAATCACCTATCTGCAGCGTGGGTCAGAAGTAACGGCTTTGGGAAAATGATGCATTTTGAGTTTTAGGAGAAAACGCATTAGGCAAGCCAAAAAGAATTGTTCCTAATTATTGGTGACAAATTTATCTAAATATCTTTATCTAAACACTGGAGGTTCTATAAAATACCCTTAGCTTTCAGACTACTAAGACAATATATGCAGATGCTAAAGTCTTGCAGAAAATATAATTCGTAGATGCCAACCACTAGTTTCATCAAAAGCAGCTGACACATGCAAAAGACTAGGGAAGAATCATGACATCACTTTTCTCCTTTTTTTTTATACAGTCTGTGCTTTCTCATAGATAGCTTGGTAGAGAGAAAGCACTAGTCTGGTAATTAGTATGTTCTTGGGGAAATCAGGTCCACCTATATCGTATGGTCATTTTGAGGCTCAAATATCAGTTGCCATATACAAGCATAAGGAGGATTAATTACACTCAAACATGCTTGGCAGAGGCCTACATACCTCTCTCCCACATAGTTTCACTCTCCTAGGCCTACCACATAGTAAATAACCAATATCAACGTCAATGCCAAATGACAGTCATAAATGATAATAGAAAGAAACTATTAATAAAAGGGTTTCAGAATGAAACCCATTTTCTTTTGTCAACTAGAAATGAAATGAATTCTCTGCATTTAAGGAATGTTTCTGGTGTAATTTATATCCATGAAGAGAGAAAAAGTCCCCATCAGACGTTTACTGCTTTGATTGTCAAAGAATTTTACAAATTCCTGATACTAACAGAATATATTGCATAGTGCATAATTAAGATGAGGCTAAGTGATGCTACAGTAACGGGCAATCACAGGGTACTAGTGGCTTAAAATGGTGAGGATTTATTTATTGCTTATGGTTTATGTCCTTTGCAGATCAGCAGTAAGACTGTGTTCATCAGAATCTCTCAGGGTTCCAGGCCAGTGGAGTGGCCGTCATCTTGGACATAGCTAACCTTCATGCCAAAATGGAAAGGCAACGGTGCAGGCTCTCAAGCAGAAACTTTTGCTCACAACCCATTAGCCAGAAGTAGTTGCATAGTCCCATACAAATAAAAGTGTGCCAGGAAGTATAATTTTTGACATTTCAGGAAGGAGAGAAAACCAGAACTATTTGGCAATAGTATTCATGATGACCACATAGTGTACGAGGCATGACAATTAAGTGCACGAACTCATCCTAGAAAAAAATGCTACATACCTCATTGCTGAATATCACTACAGTCACCTTCGAAGCACTCCCCTTTGGGAAGTTATGCACCAATGTTAGCGCCTAGTACACCCTTCAAAGCAATTTTGGAACTCTTTTTCTGGAATGGCCATCAGAGCTGTCATTGTATTACCCTTGATGTCCTAAATGTCATCAAAATGTCTTCCTTTCAATATTTCCTTTATCTTCCGGTAAAAAAAGAAGTCATTGGGGGCCAGATCAGGTGAGTAGGGAGAATGTTCCAGTGCAGTTATTTGTTTACTAGCTAAAAACTCCTTCACAGACAGTGCCATGTGAGCGGGTGCATTGTCATGATGCAAGAGCCGTGAATTGTTGGCAAAAAGTTCAGGTCATCTAACTTTTTCATACAGCCTTTTCAGCACTTCCAAATAGTAAACTTGGTTAACTGTTTGTCCAGTTGATAGAAATTCATAATGAATAATCCCTCTAATATCAAAAAAGGTTAGCAACATCGTTGCAACAAGTTCATGAACTTAATTTTCAGAACTCGTGTATGTGAAAAACACTGCTAGATATTACATGATTCCCTTCCTCCACTGTTAAAAAAGAACAACTGATGGTTAAGCTTTTTACAAAAGAGAAAAGCAAGACACTGTAATATTTTAGGATAATATATGTTATATTTGATATGGTTTAAAGATTTTAAATGTCAAATTTAAATAAATAAATAAATTTGTGTTTGGTGTCTTCAGTCCCCTAAAAATAAAGTTCCTTGACATTAGAAATTCACTAACATTGTAATTAAATTTTAAAAGACTTTTCCTTTTTAAAACTAAGTGTTTTTTTTTCCCTTAAATCTCACTGCCTTTCTCACTCCTAATTTTAGGGTAGGGTTGAGTCCAAAAATTTCATTTTCTTAAGTAAGAGAAAGAATCCCCCCACCCCACCCCCATACCAAAAGACTGTTCATCACAACAGTAGAATTCAACTTACAAAAAAAAATTATATTTAATGTAGGTAACCCAAGAAAAGCTAAAATATTTTGGATACAGTCTAGGAAATTGTTATAGTCACTTTGTTGTAAACCATCTATTCATATCCCGTGATGATGGCACTTAAAATTATTATACTTTTAAAAAGCAATTACTTTCCAGTTTTGAAAGGAATTTTAATGATACCAACCCTATTTTTAACTATAAGTCATGTGTGTGTCTAGTTTGGTTTTGGATCGGAATTAGAGTTCCTGTATTTTATTTGGTTTTTCCTCTATAATTTGTTAGCCCATTTAATATAGAATATGTATTAAAAAGATGATTTCTTTATGTGATTATGACTCTACTTCAAAGTCTATTTGAATTGTTAATATTAGCTCTTCAGAGATGGTGTCAGGTCTCAGAAAATCTATAAACTAAGAAGGTTTAGATGAGATTTTATTTTAACACCTCCCATCCCAGGAGGTGGGAATTCTTTCCCTTTTCTTATAACCACCCTATTCAGTAACTCTAAGTGCAATGCGGGTCCTACTTCTTCAATTTCTTTCTTTCTTTCTTTTCTAATTTTTAGTTTTCAGTGTTCCAATTCCTGGGAATGGAGGACAGGCCAGATGGAGACTGTCTCTAAATCATACCCCAGTAGTGGCCCTGAGTGCTAGTAGATGCTCTGCTGTGGTCTGAACCTACAGGGAAATTCAGGTGTAGGGGCAACTAGCAGATCTTCAGAGGGTGCCAAAAAAACATATACACATTTTAAGAAAGGAAAAAACTGTATTAAAATTGTAGTACTCAATATATACCGATAACAATAGATGAATACAAGTCAGGTTTGACATCTGCAATTACAAGAGGTGCTCAAAGTGGTTACCATCGGCGTCCAGACACTTCTGATTAAGGAGAACTACTGCTTGAGCAATGTTGACCAAAGTGTCTACTTGTATACATTTTTGGGGGGCCCCCGGGATTTTTCATGGTTTGATGTGAATTGCCCATGCTCTGAGGTAAAGGACAGGACTGACCAAGTGGTAATCAGGGCAGAAGGTCCATACTGTGTCACATTGTATAATGGAAGAGGGACCACATTTGGGGTCTACATTTGGAATAAGACCTAATTTTTAGTCTGTGGCCTTGGGGACATTTCTTAAACTCTAAACCTCAATTTACTCATCCATAATAGGGAATATTTAGGAAGTCCTCATTATAGAGGATAATTCTTACCAGAATAAAAAAGTTAAGTCTCTGAAGGAGGTCCAATATTTTATAGTAAATACAGAAAAAAAATTATGTTATATGTATTTTACCATTATTTAAATAGTTGAAAAAAATTTAGGCTACAATTGCAGCCAAGTAATAGTTAAGATTCAGTTAAGATTCACATTAGAGAGTTTTTAACATAATATTTGTGACACAATCATATGATATTATTGCTTGATATCCCTCAATTTACATTTGACATTATATCACAATCATATAGAGAGCTGCTCTTGAAAAAATGTTTTCTGAGATCTTTTGATATTCATACTTTTCTATTTTAAACTATTGTTTGTAACAGTTTCCATGATGTTAAAGAAGTTAAAACAATTGAACTTCCTTCTCCGTTATTTCTTCCCACTAGAGAATGTCAACTTTAGGGCAAATTCCTAGAAGTGGATCAAAGGGAATGCACATTTCACATTTCCAAACCTATTGCCAAACTACTGTCCGGAGGCTGCGCTAATTTCCACTGTTACCAACAAGAAGTACGAGAAAATTCCCATTTCCCCACATGCTTGTTCACACTATGCTTTGTCTATGTTTTTAATCTTGCCAAAGAAAGAAAGACTAAGGCCTTGACATGATATTAAAGATAAACCTTAGTGTTAAGCAGAAGGGAAGTTTGTACGGAGACTTATAAAATAAGTCTCAACTTATAAATTAATAGCAATTATTTTCACGTTTTGATGACTTTTGCTTCTTTGAACAATCTTCTAACAATGGGGACTCAAGGAATGAATACCTGAGGAAGGAGGACCCTTTCCCTCTATCTGATAGAGCTGTAAAAACTGAATTAGATAATATGTAAAATGACAGCTACTTCATAGGCACACAATCTAAGTACCTCTTCTTTCTTTCAGCTTTGGGGCAAAGG